AAATATTTGGCTAATTTTTATTGGATTATCAATTACGTGAAACAAAAATATTGATCAACCAATCACAAGATTTTTAAATATGCTCTTTTCTAGTGTCCCAAATTATTGTTTTCTTTTTTATTGACATGATTGATTTTTTTAAAACAATATATTTTTTACATATCATAGCTACTTTAGAATAATATTTTATGCTGTAAAATAATACAAAAACGCATATAACAACATCTTGTCAAAAATAATCAATCAAAATAATTTTCATTCTAAGTAAAAACTCTACGCAAACTTTTTTCTTACAATCATGTTTATTTTTCATCGTCTTTTCACATCAACTATCCAACCTTCTTTGAAACTTCCTTTGAACTTTCAAGATGCAATCTTTTTTGAAACAGCAAAAGATTATTTTTTAGAGACTTTTTGGGAATATAAAGCTACAAAAAATGAACGTTTTAGTCCTTCTCAATATGGAATATATAAGCAGCAATTACAAAAACTTGCAGGTTTAGAAGAACTCCAGTATAAATGCTACAAAGAAAAAGCTCAAACTGCATTAAATGTCTTTGAGGTAAGGACAATTTCAAAAGTCCTCAGCTATTGCATTCTTTGGAAGCTGGCGGATCTAATCTTCTGAAGGAAGGTTTCTGAAACAAGCTAGGAGCTTACCTAGTTTCTAAAAGAAGCTATCCTTTGTTAGAAGAAGTTTCTGAAAGGAAGCTAGATCTTGCTCAATCTTTTAGAAGGTTCTAAATAAGGAAATTTTGAAATAGTCTTACTGGGAATATTTTCTCATTATTAAACTTTTTATTATTAGAGCCAGCAAAGAATATGAAAAAAAGAAAAGAAAAAAAAATTAAAAAGTAAGCTAAAAGAAAGTCAACACAAAATAAGAACCAAAACATTGCAAAATGCAGAGCCTGATCAAAGATCACTCAATGATACTGTTAATACCATTACTGAAATTTTGCGAAATGCAAGACCTGATCTAAGACAAATCAACAACACTGTTAACATCATGCCTCTCAAAGATCATGATCTTCAAAAACTCATCAACATGATTAATAATAATATTCGTAATGCTACACATGGTAAAGATATCTCAAAGGAACACTATCAATTTCTAGTTTGTGGAGGAACGGCTGGTATCGGTAAATGAAATTATCTTACGCTTACATTAGTTTACTTTAACAAGCAACTGAAACCTTCTAATTAATTGTATTCTAGGCAGGACATGACTAGGGCTGGAAGTTTTTAACATTTTTCAACATCACTGGACACCACCAACTGAATGGTCAAGCAATGGTTCAGTTCATACCAAGTACTTGCGTCTCAACTTTGGAAATGATGTGATATTAGATGTTTATGATTACAATATATCTGCATTGATAATTATTGGTATACATATGGCCTATGAATTTTTCATTAAAGGAAAATATGATATTCAGTTTTGTGAGTTTTGCCATGAGGCTCTCAAGAATAAGGACAATTTTAACATTGATTTTGTAATCACTGCTATCAGAAGTTCTCTATGCCTTGAAACAGGTCAGCGTCTTTTTTTGTTTATCCATATTGATGAATTTCAAAAAATTATCAATTTTGATGGTTGGAATGCAGATACAGAGAAACCATCAAAAGGACTATTCAGATGTATGATGTATGAACTTGGGCGTTATATGACATATCAGAGTCCACAGTGTATCTTTGTACAAACATTTCTTTCTGGGATGGAACCACACAGTATAATACGAGCAAAAGAACCTACATCGTACTCTTGGTATTTTGCCAAATGTCCATTGTTGTCAATGGCTGCATGTATTCAGATTATGGAACATTTTGTGGTACATTACGACTCTTCTAATGATTGGAAATTGAAATTGTGGATTCACCAATTGTTGTCAGATACTGGTGGCCCTGGAATACTTATTAGAACATTTTTTTGGTGTAAATTATGATTGGATACAATGGTTTTTAGATGAAATTGACAAACATAACCCAAACAACTTTTTTAATGGAATTGCATTTGATCTTGACAAACAGTATGCAGTGGCAACATTTGCTGAGGAATGGCGAAGCCTTACTTGGGCACTTATACATTATTGTATTGGGTTGATCCCAGTAATGAAAACAGATATTCCTTCACAAGAGTATCCTGGCGAAACATTCAAAGTATTGGAACGTGATAGACATCTTGTTCTTAAGTATTGTGGTGAAAATAAATATGTGGTTCAAATGCCACTTATATTTCTCTATCTATATAATTAGGGTTTGTATTCATGAATATCATAAGGGGGTCATACAGGGTCACACACTATTAAAATCAAGTGATCAACTCATGTTTTTAAGGGATTTTTTGCTGTTTTAATAGTGTGTAACCCCCTTAATGATATTCATGAATAAAAACCCTATATATAATCAAGTTCTTCACATGGCTACAAACATTCTAGATGGTATTTTTACTCCTCATTTTATGTTACAGTGGCAAGATTGGGAATGTTTTGTAGCAGAATTTGAAGCATTTCGCAACAATGTTCTAATTGAATTGGGTAAAGAAGTGCAATCACTCTGAGAAATTTATCATGGTGCTTATGGTCATAAGGATACCTTAGAATTACATATTAAACTTTGTCCTCTTACTGTTCGCCATATAAGCATCAGGAAACTTTTTCTGATGCAAATTTACGTAATATTATGGGCCCGCCATAAACTTACGTAAATAGTGTAATATTATGCAAAAATAGCACAAAAATTATGCAAATATTACATTCAGTGTAAATATTACATCCTTTTTATGTGAAATATTATGACATTTCATATTAAAACTTACGGATGTAATATTACAGTGGGAAAAGTTTCCAGATGCAGAGAACAATTTCCCTGTCTTAAGCTTAGTGATTCTATAGATTTTAATGAAGTAGACTGGAAATCTAATAGTATAATTATTAATGGTTGGGCAGCACCATTTGCGGACTGTAATTACTGATGACGAGCATTTTCTGTTCATTTGCTCCCAACAAAAATGGAAAACAAATACTATTTGTATTGAAGATATCCTAGCTGAACATGAAAAAAATATTAAGGCATTTGGAAAAGCGCAGGAGCCACTTAGATCTGAATTTAAAAAGTACTAGGTGTAACCCGTCAGCTTTGCTGATTGATGGTTTACATCTAGAGCACATTATAAATAATCTTGTAAATTTTTTTATTTTATTCAAATTTATTTAATACTGTAAATTCATAGCATTAATAAGTTTGGTTGCATTTATTATAAATATGTATAGATTTAAAAAAATAAAAATTTTAATTGACATAATTTTGTTAAATATTTGATTTCATGACTACAAAATGTCACATTTATTATTATAATCACATACATACCTCACAAATTATCCTATTGTAACACTTCAGGGTAAACAATGTTAGATGTAAGATTAGCACAATGCACATTTTCTCCATTGCATTTAGAGGTAAGAATTTTCAAGTTCTTCCATGATGTTACTCTTGAACAGGCAACATATAATTGTCCATGAGAGAATACTGGTGTTGGAAGATATAAACCAACCAAATTTAATGTTTGTCCTTGAGACTTATTGATAGTCATTGCAAAGGCAGGCTGCACAGGGAATTGATGACATTTGAAAATAAAAGGTAGATCTGTATTTGAAGGTGTCATTGTAATGCGAGGAAGAAAAACACAATTTCCAGAATGTTTTCCAGTAATAATTTCAGCTTCAATAACATGTCTATTAAAAGATTGGCAGACTAATCTGGTTCCATTACAAAGACCATCAGAAGGAGAAATATTGCATAATAAAATAATTGGTGCGCCAGGTTTTAATATGAGCCTATGAGGTGGAAGACCTCCAATAGTTAGAGAGTTAAGAAATTCAACAGGATACAAATGTTCTGCCTCAGCCTGTTCTTCAACCATATCTGTGCTAAGATACTCAACAGTGTCTCCTGGAAATTGAGTCATAATTATATCATTAATAGCTTTAACCTGATCATTCTTAGGGGCAAGAATTGCATGCTCAACTAAATATTGTGAATTGGTATGTGATGAAAATCCAGAATATACAAACTGAGTTAAGTCAGTTAATTCTTCAAATGATAAAACAATGTCATCAGGAAGCTGAATAGTGTTTTTCTCAGGTCCAACAGCAGTAATGTGACCTTCACCAACTTTAAGGAGCCATCTAGCAAATTCATCTTGTTCAATAAGATCAGAAGTAGTACAACGAAGACGCATATTAATTTTAAGTTTCATAACTTCAACATGTTTCCACAAAGGGGACCAATGCAAACAGGATCCTACAATCTCTTCTCAGCCACCTTTTACAACTACAGGAAGAATTTGTCAAAAATCTCCTCCAAATACTATCACTTTACCTCCAAATGGTTTTCCTTCCAACTCAGGATCAACAGCTTTCATGAGGTCTTTTAAAGTGTGATCTACAGCTTCAAATGCATATCTATCCATCATTGGAGCTTCATCCCATACAATAAGACTTGTTCTTTGCAATAGTAAGGTTGTATCAGAGCCATGAGAGATGGAACAGGTAGAATCTTCATTTAAATTAATAGGTATTCTAAATCAGGAGTGGGCAGTTTGGCCACCTGGTAAAAGAAGTGCAGCAATACCTGAAGAAGCTATTGCCAGAGCAATATGTCCATCTAAACGAATCTTTGCAAGTAGAACACTATATATACAGATAATATGGTAAAATAACAAATTCAAAAATAAAAAAAATAAAAAAATAATATAGCTACTTATATAAAAAAGTTTTTCCTGTTCCACCTGGACCATCAATAAAAAACATAGCAGGGGTTTGATTTTCCACAGCAGTTATAACTTTTTCAAATGCAACTTTCTGATCTGCATTTAATTGAGGAATTCCATTTTCAACTGTTTGAGTAAGCTCTTCAATATTATAGCTTTGTTCTTCATAAATTAGATAATTGTCTTGATCACAATCAGAAAGAACTTCAGGTATGGGCATATCAGGAAAATCTTTAAGACATTTTCCACACCTATTTAAAATTGATTGCAAATGGGTTAAAGCTTGGTTGTGGATATCAGTATTTTCAACATTATCATGAACTTGAAATCACATATCATCACTAAGAGCATAAAAATACTTCTCCCAAAGATTCTCAGGTCTTACTGGATCACAAAACAGAAGTAGTGTAGCAAACAAATTACATAGTTGTGATCCAGTCTGTACCTGAGCAGCTTCTGCTAAACATTGATCCCATTCTTCACCATTCTGTAGCAATCCTAAAATGGCACTGGCTTCCTTTAAAGTATTATATAAAACTCCATTGACAGTGCGGAGATTTTCAAAAGAAGTATATAGCACCACAAACTACATTAAGTAAAATTCTTAAATAATATTGCTCGCCTGCCATTGGAGAAACAAAATACATATGCCCAATTACATTTTCACGTTGCCTTGGACTCCATTTATTGGTTTGCTTGTTATAAACCCACTGAGTAGGAAAATTTCCATAAGTAAGCTCTCTTGCTTCAGGATATAATGTGTTAACTTGGAACCATGCTGTAAGTGTTGTTTTTTCAGAATTGGCATGTTCAACTACATTTTCTAAACATTCATCATCCCAAAATATAATTCTATGCTGTCCTGGAAGATGAACTTGGAGGTGTACAACAGCTGGACTTCTATCATGCAATCGATAATGAAATAATCACCATGAAGCTTCTGATGCTGAAATATATCAAGCATCAAGGTAGAGACTTATCTCATCATTACTTTCTTGCTTGTGGTTTTGTCTTCTTATTTCTACAGTAGCACAATCATGTCCTTTATAGACATACTTAAAGAGATACTTTACTGCAGTAATGGATGAACAAATCTCTACATTTATATGGCAATCATATCTAGTAGAAAGATATGGATTATACGGAACAACCCATCTGTTATCTAATGTTGCTCCACACACTTCTACTGTTTTTCCATTGTCTCTTTGCTTGTAAATAGGGTACCCATCATTATTTACAGCAGTACTTTCCTGAAAATGCTTTGGATATCCCTTAGAACACCTTCCATTTTTCATACATGGGGCATTTTGCATAAAAGCACCACAAGGACCATGTATCATTGATCGTTTGACAGTATCAAATGTATATGGATCACTATCTCTGTCAGGAATCTCAGCTGACACAATAGCATCATAGTCATCAATCATCCTGGGTTTGTGCTCCTGGGCAGGAATTAAGAGAATGTGTGCATGAGGTAATCCACGCTTTTGGAATTCTATAGTATAAAGGTAAGCTATCACTTTTCCAAAAATATCATCTTTTAAAATATCTCCAAGCATCACTTTTAACTTCATATTAAATACACAGGCAATTAAATCAGGTCTGTTTTGTGCCATTTGACCTGGAAGAAGCTCATTAGTAATTTCAGGCCATTGTGGATTGCAAGTCATTGTAATAAAAAAATCAGGTTTGCCAAACACTTGTACAATAGCCATTCCATCTTGATAAAGTTGATGCATTTGGCAAGGTCCTCCTGTAAAGCTTGATGGCAAAATTATCTGCTGTTCTATGTTTGATGATTCATGCATACTATCTTGTGCATGTACTGCATCCTGCAATCCACTGTATAGTTCAGAGCACAGCTGCTTTTGGTTAAACTTCAAATAATTCAAACTCATTTGTTCTATGATTGCATACATATCAAGAATCCACTGTTGAAAAAGTCTTCCAAATCGATGTAGGACTACTGCTTCACCTGGCCGACCTAATTGAAGTCTGTATGCAAAATAATTCATTGCACTAACATGTTTTTTTGTAGTGCTTGCCTTATCATCATCAAAGGTTATAGATTCTTTTATAGGAATGTAAGGATGCCACCCATCTTCACCTCTGGGAAACATGAGAACATAGTGCAATGGTTCATAAGCACAGTGTATTTCTGATATTCTTTGTAATCCTCCTTCATGATGTGAACCCATATTGTGAAATGTTCAAACAAGCTGGAGACATTGTAAGATTAAATCCATCCTTGGACTTGCAGATGGTAATCACAGATAGTAGAAAAGAAGATTCTAGACATTACAATACTCCGGCAGCATCAGAAGCTGCAGTCATTATGATTGGAGATGGACAAGGAGCTGAACCATTGGAACGAAATATCGTGCTACAATTGCATGTAACATTTGCTGAAGCCCCTCAAGAATAACTGGATCAAGATTAGGCATTACATTCATCCTATTTTGCAATTCATGCTCAGTATCATACACATATATTTGAGCAAATTGAGGGCGAGCTTCATTGTCAGGAAGCATTGTGCTTATGCTATGATACATTTCTCCATGAACACGAAAGCTGTAAACACCACTTGTTCCTGTTATACTATTATCAACCTATGCACCCATAGATGTAAAAGCCAAAGCTGAATTATATGACCTAGTATTTTTCCTAAATAAACGTGCACTTGGATCTGTTCTAGTAAGAAGCACGTTGAGAGGATGTGGTATAGGAGGAAGAGAAACCTTGCCTTTGGCACAACATGTTGTAAAAATTGGTGATCGTGTAGATGTGCCTGTTTTTCTTTCATCTATCCACAACAGTGCCCCGCAACAATTACATCTATGATTCATGCTTCCCAGAGAGTGACGGTCTAAACCTTGTGAACACCATGGATAAACACGCGCTTTTAATGTTTTTAGAAGAACAGTAGTTGGAGGAATAACTACTTCTTGCTCAGCAGGGGTAGACATGTTATTTTCTAAAAATTGCTCAAGTCCCGTAGGGCCATCTGAATCCACATTTCTTTTGTTTTCACAATAACGCCGTTGTCGTTCACGATTAAGTCTTCGTTGATGTTCTTCAGAAGTCTCATCCATAATGTCACTAACTACACCTTGCACACATACCTTCTTTTCTCCTGGGTGGTCAAGTTCCATAGGGCCATCTGAATCCACATTTCTTTTGTTTTTGCGATAACGTTGTTGTCGTTTACGATTAAGTCTTCGTCGACGTTCATCGGAAGTCTCATTCATAGTGTTATTTCAATTCATAATTTTCTTGTGTGTTATTTTTAAATTAGTAAAATAAATTGGTAAAAAAACGCGTAATATATGAAATTTTATTG